ATGCTGAAAAATAATACAGGTTTGATCACAAGAGTAAAGTACACTTTACTATATACTCGCATAGAAAACAGATATTTTACATTCTAATAATATTTCACAATATTATTGTAATTTTCATCAAGTAAATGCAGCCTGAACACGAGACGTTTTTTGTAAAAGCCGATTCCAGTTAAAAATTAGGATCATTTTGTGAATTAAAACCTCTAAGCTAAAATTCCAGTATCATATTTTTGCTATAACAGTAATACGCAATTACGACAGTGACAAACATTTAGGCTTAATCTGTGATGGGTGTTTTATAGAAGTAAGTTAACGGTAAAAATGTTTTATGCTATGCGTGTGCAGAAATTTATTTTGAAAAATAAAAAAGAGAGAAATATTTAGAGTAAAAAGTGTTGTTTTTATATGCATGGCAACTTTTTAACATTCTTTCGTTCGGTGACTCTCCTGTTCGAACTCGTTGAGCTTACAAAGCTTAAACTTTATTTTTTTTTTTTTAATGAGTGATCATTTCGCTTGATAAGATCCTTATTCATCGTCTGAAATCATTTAAAGCCCTTTGAACAATTAGCAGTTTGCACTGAAACTCTCTTTTGGACCTTGAACCGTTTGGTTCCCACTGAAGTCCATTATATGGAGAAAATCCTGGAATGTTTTCATCAAAAACCTTCATTTATTTTCGACTGAAGAAAGAAAGACATGGATATCTTGGATGACATGGGGGTGAGTAAATTATCAGCAATTTTTTTTTTTTAAAGTGAAATACTCCTTTAATTTACTTTATTTATTTATTTATTTTTAAAATTGACACGATAAATTACTATATGACCGATATATGATGCAAAAATTAAAGGTAGCCTACACTGTAGATTATTATTTTTTTACTGTCAGCATTTAACAATTTAAATAATGAGTAAATTGCCTACATCATCGGTCCTTCCAAAATGTGTTTTACCCTGCTTCACAATAGGGTGAGCCTATTATAAGTGTTTTGGACCTACAAAACAAACGAGAAAAACAAGAATTAGCATTGGCTCGGCTTTTCGGAGATGGAAAGAAGGGATTTGAAATGTTGTAAAAGCAGATATGACGTTTGTATTACTCGACAGGTGAGTAAGGTGTTTTATTGAACAGATACATTCCCATAATTATCTCTCTGACTGACATAGTTCATAGTAAAGCATTATCTATGGTGAGGGGTCGTTTCGTGTTAATGTGTTATGAGCAGTGTGAAAATAATATTCATCCGCACAATCACGCAGAGCCGAAGTACAACCAAAACAAGGTTCTTCCGCAATATGCACGCAGTTTTGTTTTTAACCACTAGAGGGCAAATAGTAACCGCACATCTACTTTTCCTGCATGAAAGGAATATTCAACCTTAAAGGTATAATTTCTAGAAATAAATACAGAAAGGCATGTTAGCTGGTGGTTGGGTGATGAGATGTGACTAACTCAACTTGAATGGGTTTGTTTCTAAATTTTACCTCGCTAAACCAACAGAAGCCTCAGCAGAGTAAATAAAGGTGCTGTTTCTTTGCGTCCAGATGTCATTTCAGACTACTGGCTGTGAGACACAGACATCTTTAAGGATAATAGCACTGAATTAGTGTTGAGCGAAAACAAAACAAAATGTGATTTTGATCTCAATTCTAGAGACAGCTGTTCACACATATTTCACAGCAGCGTTACATAACATAAAAAATACCAAACACACAGACACTTTGCAATATGAGCTGTGGACAAATACAATAATAAAAAAAACAGTCCTTTTAATTAATTGTTTTAATAACTTTTGTAAGCAATAACATATTTGTTTTATAGAAAATAAACATCTCTAAGAAATACTATACACAATTATAATAGTACATCACATATTACATTTAAACAGCATCAAATACTTATATACACAATTACTTAGAATTAGGAATCAAATAATTACGTGATGGTTCTGTCATCTCTATGCGGTCTTACCTGTAATACTGCAGTGAAGTGAATCATATACTGTATGTTAGTCACATATACATCTGGATTAAATGTTTATGGATTCTCATGTTTGGTTTTTCACATTGTCTTCTGCGTCATTTCACAAATAACATGAACAGAAATGTCAAATCTGTTTGTGGTGTGGATCTCTTCAGCTTAAAGGTCATCCAAAATTACAATATGCCATTATTTACTCATCTAGGCTTTAAAAAAAAAAAAAAAAAAAAAACTCATGTGACTTTCTTTCTTCCTTTGAGTGATTGAGAAGAATGTCCAAGCTGCCATTTTCCACTCAGTGAAAGTGAATGGAGACTTGGCTTGTCAAGCTCCAAAACAAAAGTATCATAAAAATCTTTTTCAAGAGTCCTAAATTTAAAGAGAATTTTATTTTTTTTAATGTGCTGTTGCTCTACAATAATATGGTATTTTTGTTTATTTCATTGAAGAATGAAAGTCGTAAGGGTTTTGAGTAATAAATTTAATAAATTCCTTTAATAAATTCTGAGAAGCTGATACACATAATACGAACGCAGTGCTGGGGAAAGTTACTTTTAAAAGTAATGCGTTACACCCTAAAAAAGTAACTAATTGCGTTACTTTTTTATGGAAAGTAAGGCTGAAGGCTGAAGGAAATGCAAATCACTTGCATTACGTATTTGAAAAATTAGCAGAGATACGTTGTTGTAAATTTAAAAGTAATGCGTTACTTCACTAGTTACTTGAAAAAGTAATCCGATTACATTACTCTGATTACAATGCGTGACCCCCAACACTGTTTGAACGCAGGATATTTTCCCACCTGTCGGACATCTCAGTGGAGCTGTTTTGTCTTCGAATGCACATGAAAATAAGCCTACACTTGGAGTAGCAGTTTATTAAAATAATGCTTTTTTTTCCCTCATGAAATCAGAATATTTAGACCTGTAAAGCACACCATGTACAATTTCATTTTTTCTTCTTTGTAACATGTAAGTGTCCATTGAAATACATCCAGTGTTGCATGACATCTTCAAATTTCAATCCCCCTTTCCACTGCGGAAGCACGCGTGTGCCAACCAGCGCTCGGGGCAGCAGGCCAAATCCACCAGCAGGTGTCCCCGACTGATAACATCCGCTCCAGAATACGGAATAAAATGGAAGAATGGCACATTCAGATTCATAACAAAAGTGTCTTTCCCCTTTTTCAGCTTTTGGTCATGAAGTATCGTCTGTTTGAGCCGGGCCGGATGGATTGGGAGATGATCTTGGGTGAGTATTGCTACAGTATTTTTGTGCTTCGACTGAAGCCCTAATTAGATGTCCACAGCAACTTACAGCACACAGGCAAACGCATGTCCTTGTTCTACTGCATAGCAGACATTCACCAGTCTTCATGCGCCGGTATATATTACAACGCCTGAAAAACAGATCCATTTGAAATGCGTAAGAGTGGAGAAAGGCTTGCTGAAATATTCTTCGTTCATATACATTAAGCCACCACATGTGTCTTCTCTTAATGTATGGATTTCTCCATTTTTAAAGATTGAAATCATATTAGGAACAATATCACAGTTATTTCACTTAGCTTTCCAGGTGTTCATTGTTTTCTTACTCAAATGGAAATGCTAAAAACAAAACATGTTTACTTGGGAATATTGTTTTAATCCGCAGTCATTTTGCATGTTTTACAGCATCTTTCCATCCCGTGAGTCTTACGTAATATACCTTTAACTAACATGACATCATCCTCCAGGAAGTGGCATCATTTTGGAGGGAAAACAACAGATAACAGAAGGTAATGGATTTAATGAATTCGTTGATGATTTGATATTAATTCTTTCCACTTGATAATGTCCCATCTGTTTGATCACTTCAACATCAATATCAACATTTGAAAAGATGTTTTAAAATGTCCAAATAGCCTCCTTCACGAAAAGTTGATTACTTACCACAGAACGGCTAACTAACGTTAGCTTGTTATTTCCCTTCTGTTCATTGTCTTGGCAAATGCTATAGCACGTCATTGATTTATTAACCAAAAATGATCGGATGACTGATGTACAGACGATAATGCTGATAATGACGAAAAAATGTGATGTAGCCTACACAAATTAGCTGAAATTGTACATTATTAACTAATAATAATAATTTACAATAATATAAGCTGCATTGCCCACTCTCGAAAATAAAATTGCAGGAACGGTTCCTAATTGCGCTGACATGGATGTTATAGTTGTTATGTATCTCTCCTCCTCCGCAGCTTTTCTTGCTGCTCTCGTTCTCTTTCCCTCCTCTGCTCTGGGTCCAATCTCTCGCTTTCTCTCTGATCTCTGAACTAATCCCTCTGCTTTAAAGCGCTGGTAATCGGTATCTCTCTCACAGCGCGATTTAACTGCAGCCTGGTTACAGTGTTTGTTAGGACTGCATTGATATTCATCATCACGTTCTCGTGTTGCAAACAAACGTCTTAGTTCAGCGCGAACTGCTTAAAGGGACAGTTCACACAAAAATAAAAATTTTGTCATTAACACAAACTTTCGTTCTTCAGAGATCTTTGAAACACAAATGAAGATCGAAATCTGAGAACTTTCTGGCCCTCCTACACACACACAACTACCACTTTGATGCTTCAAAAAGTTCATAAAACTAAATGTGATTTGAGCCATGTAGTCCAAATTTTCTGAAGAGACTCGATCACTTAATGATGAACACAATAAATTTAGGCTTTTATTCACATAAACATTCATCAACTCACACATCAGTTATGGTAAACTGAAGCTCAAACTTGTTCGCTTGATGTGAAAACAACTGAGGTTCATTCTTGTGTTACGCAGCACGTTTGAGCTTCAGCAAGAACCAATGAGGTTCATTCTTGTGTTACGCAGCACGTTTGAGCTTCAGCAAGAACCAATGAGGTTCATTCTCGTGTCGCAGCACGTTTGAGCTTCAGCAAGAACCAATGAGGTTCATTCTCGTGTCGCAGCACGTTTGAGCTTCAGCAAGAACCAATGAGGTTCATTCTCGTGTTACGCAGCACGTTTGAGCTTCAGCAAGAACCAATGAGGCTCATTCTTGTGTTACGAAGCACGTTTGAGCTTCAGCAAGAACCAATGAGGTTCATTCTTGTGTTACGCAGCACGTTTGAGCTTCTACAAGAACCAATGAGGTTCATTCTCGTGTTACGCAGCACGTTTGAGCTTCAGCAAGAACCAATGAGGCTCATTCTTGTGTTACGCAGCACGTTTGAGCTTCAGCAAGAACCAATGAGGTTCATTCTCGTGTTACGCAGCACGTTTGAGCTTCTACAAGAAACAATGAGGTTCATTCTTGTGTTACACAGCACGTTTGAGCTTCCTGAAGATGTTTTTTCTCTTGACAATTTCGTCAAGGTTCGATTGAGCTTCTGTTTATGTTCGCTGTTCAATGTTTATATGGGAATAAAAGCCTAAATTAAATCTTTTCATCCTATAAAGCGACCAGGTCTCTTAAGAAAATTTGGACTAAACCACTCAATTCATATGGTTTAGTTTTACAATCAATTTATGAACTTATTAAAGCATCAAAATGGTACTCGCGCAGCTGATGTAGGGACAGAAATCTCTCAAATTTCATTCAAAAGATCTTAATTTCTATTCTGAAGATGAATGAAAGTCTTATGGGTTTGAAATGACATGAGGGTGAGTAATTAATGAGAGAATTTACTTTTACCTCGGATAAGAATCGGTTTACTAATCTGGTATTTACACCATTCGGCTATCGGTGCACCACCTCTCAGAGAATCGCATTCAAATCTGCCTCCATTTTGTTTGCAACAACCTCCAATGATCCAATCAATTCCCAAAAGACGAAATCAAGCCCCACCCTACATGTTTTTCTAATTTCAGAGATGACGATCTCAACTTCCGTTTCATGCCGACTTTAATATGTATTAAACTGTTTTTCATCTGTGTTGATTTTTTGAGCACCCAATTTAATATGAGATGCGTGCCGACTCTGCCGAGTGTCAGTAACAATGGCCAAACGGCTCTGATGCAGCTAAATTCACCTAAATTCTCTCAAAACGTGAACAAAATTGTTTTGTTGCCTGGCTAGAATATTTCCTTGAGGAAATGCAAATAGCAAGAACAGGAGATAGAACGGTAGACTTCACTTGCCCTGCCTGCTGTGCTGCCCTCTTCGGCCTGACTGTGCTGCTTTGCTGTTGTCATGTTCTCAAGCCACATGAACCTACAAGAGAGCTCGCCGCTGAGTGTGTGTGAGCACAGAGGAGAAGAGGAAGATGAAGAGGAGGAGATTTCCTAGGAGACCTTGACGGGGGTGGTATCTCTACCGCTCGCTTTCATTAAAGCGGCAAATTGGCATCCCTGAGACCCAAAGCCCTTAGATCCCCCTGCTGATGTGTGCTCTGCTTGTTCTGAACTTTCTCCTCTGCTCTGTTTGTCTGTCTGTTTCTCTCTCATTCTGTTCTCCTCTCCTTTTGTCGTGGGAGGGCGAAAGAGGAAGGGAGGGGTAGAGCTGGAGAGAGAGCAGGGCGGGGTGTTTTGATCTCCATCCAGGTTTTGCCTCACGGTCTCAGACCGAAAGCTGCTGAATATCATTTTTCTTTCTCACTTTCTACCATGCCCATTTTCTCTGTCTTTCTTGCTCAGTCTATCGCTTTTGCTTCCTCTCTCCCTGACCTACCTCAGTTGTAGTTCACAGATTGCCTTTAGGTGGCGAATGCACTAGCAAATGCAACAGCATAAGAACGGAGAGGCATGTAAATCTAAGGCTAAAGCTAAGGTGAGCATTACTAATATTTCCCTGGTTTCACAGACCAATTTTAATCCTAGACTAAAAATCCATATTTGAGCTGCTTTAACTGAAAGCTACTTGCATTGACACATCTTTAAAACATCTCACTGCCATTGTTTTGTCTCAAGATGCACACCAGTAATGTTTATTTTCCTAAGCCACATTTATAAAGGCTACTTACAATAACTGAACTAAGGCCTAATCCTGGCTTAAAAGCCTTGTCTGTGAAACCAGGCCTACATTTCTTAATACAAAAAACCCTAAGTATTCAACTTTGCCGTGCACCTTGCCGTATTGTTTTTGTTTTACGAATATGAATGATAGTGATGTGGATTGTTGAGGAGGGGAAAGTTATTACTTTCCAATCGATTCAGATTTGTTTGCCTGATGGACAATGACATAAGCCGCTTTTCCACCGTCGGGCTGAACGTTTGCGTAACCGTTCCATTGCGTGCCGATCCAGGCCAGCTGGTACGGTTAGTGTTTAATTTTTTCCACTGTAGGGCTGACAACGGCCGGTCTTCAGAATGTAATACAATCATCAGTCATTGCCTTTGTAATGCAAGAGTTCACGATATGAGATGTGTAGTGGGCACGTTATGGAGGAAGGCTCAGATATTTTTGGTTTAAACGTCGCTCAAATAGAGCGCTTGGCCAACTACAGAGAAACTGAAAGCCAGGCAACAGACAAGTGACCGATTTTGAGTTGTGACGTCACTTCACGGATTCGACCAGCACGGTTCAGCCGACCATTTAGACAACCGCGCCAAGAACGGTTTGTAATTGTGTTGTACCAGGCCAGAGACTATTTATATAGAGACATGCCACTTCCTCAATCCTTAACACAAATCTATAGGGAAAACCCGTAACACCAAAGATGGTGGTTGTATGCAAATGTCCCGCCCCTCCCGCTGGACAGCCAATCGTCTGCTTTTAACGGTCAAGCTGGGAAACATTTAAATACGTTACTGTTTGAAAAGACGGCAGATTTGATATGCAGTGTATGTGTGCGTTGTGTAAATATCAGACATCCCAAGTCTCCCGGAAGTTCCGGGTGTCTCCCGCAGATTGATAGCGGCTCGCTGATGCCCGCAAATTAGTTCAAATCTCCCGGAATCTAGAGCGAGCGAGCAAGAGCGCGCACATACTGTGTTTCAAACTGAGCAGCGCGCGCGACAGAGAGCGAGAGAACCCTTGCGCATGCGCAGTAAAAGTATAACCTGTGGGAAAACAGCGCTTTAAACCTTATTTTGGGGCAAAGTCATCAAACTTTTTCAGCTATTTTTATCATATTTTACTGCCGTTTCTATGCAGGTTTTATGTCCCGGTGACCAGTGAAAGTGCAGTTCTGACTCTCTGCCCATTCATTTAGATAGAGCCTGGTCTTGTTAAGTCCGAAATAGCTGCCCGGAGGCGTTGCCAAGATGGCGGCCGAGTGGCATGACTTGCCTGAAAGGACTTTGACCAGGCTCAAGTGGAAACACAACTGGAACTGTTCCTTAACGTTTTAAGAACCGTTTTAGGATTAGGAGTGCGCAACATCAGTTTCAGATATGTTTTTGGGATGGCTCTCTGCTTCATGCAAGAGCCAAGACCTTGAGTGAAATAGGATCCAGTAATAATCATCAGGCAGCACTTCTAAATGTCTCCTTTTTTCTTCTCTTTAATATCTGTGGCTCCTAAAGGGGAACTAGGAGACTGAGAGAGCCTAGAATGTCTAATTAACATCCCTTCATTAATTTCTGCTGTTAGTAGTGAGCTGCACAGTCAATAGCAGACAGATAAGGGTGAGATATGCTAAGGACTCATCTGTTGCCCTCAGAGATGGTGCTGATGAGGAACTGTGCTCTGCTGTCTAGTTTCACTCCTTGGTGTTTTTATGGGGGTGTCTTTTAGATCACAGATGTCCGTTGCTGTGTGCAAATCCAATTCACCAGCTTACCTTGTGATCCGGACATCTAACAGAGAAGGTCTCTTCTTGAAACGTGCAGCCTGGAAAATAAGAATTAAAGGCGTAAATTAGAGAATCCCATTGAAAACGCAATACAAGATCAGCTTGCACTTTTGTTTCTGACTAGACCCATCTCCAGTGGTGTAACCACAACTTTCTATGATGGCAATTTCTTATGGGAAAGAGCAATGCATGATGAAGGCCATCTAGTTCCAGCCTCGGATGACACACCACAGAGCATTCACAGACCATTGTCTATACTAATGCATATTGCCTAGAGCAGAGGATATCTGCCACTTCCAGTTGAAGGCTTGAAAGTAATAAATAGTCACAAAAATTGTAGTAAGTAAAGTAGATATCATGTTTGCCTGAAGCAAAAGAAGTTAATTAGGTGAAGTACTTAATAAAAAAGTATTCTGTCAGCACCATTGTCAGGTTTACCTACAACTAAAAAAAAGTATAACTGGTTGTTTTTACTTGTTGGTCAGAAACTCCCTGTCATGCCTTAAGTTGATATTATTGAAGTATGCATTCGATTCAGTGTTCCATGAAGGATATAGTTGGGGAAAAGCCCAACTAGTGGAATGTGTATAAGTTTAAAGTAAGTAGCCTAGCTCATCATAATTATAACCTCCACTGAATCAAGCCGTGCATCGCATCTCGTTTTTCCGCTAAGGGAAATTTTAAGGCTTATTCCGAGCGTGAATTATAAATTGGAAAATATAACCTGATGAAGCTTGGTGATTTTTTTTTTATAGTTTACATGTTCACATGGGTGATTACCATATGAATAGTCTGCTGCGTATTATAATCAGCTCAGACAGTAATAACTGTACCTTCCATTGGTCTCATACGGATTACATAATCAGAACATTGTAGTAGTTTCAAACTTTATATTGGCAGTCTGATGTCTGAGGTTCATTCGCTGAGTTTCAGTTCATTTTTGTGCCGCTTTTCAGAGAGAGCAGAAAGAGGAAATAGTTTTCTTTATTTTCTAATGATTTACTCTTTTCTATATGACCAAAAATGACAGAGTATTTGATGTTTTTCCCCCCGCTGTTATCAGGAGACAATGCAAGGGATCATGCCGGCTTCTCCGCCTACCCAAGAAGTGTGTTGTTGTGCTCTAAACAAGATGTAGGCTATTAGCAACAAATATATGCAACAGCCAAACAGTATGAAGAAACGTTAACGTAACTAATTTGCAGAGCAGTATATCAGATGAACTCTTATTCTGTGTGAAAGGAAAGGTAGTATACAAAAAGACAGAATGAGTTGAGAAGGGGCATTTAAGGGCCACCCACATATGCAAAATAAATATTAAAGTATAATCTAATTTTTTACCCATGAACAAAAATATGAAAATCTAGCTTAAATTTTATAATCGATAAGTAGAAAATCAAATGACCAGACAGTACACGGAGCGACCTGTTTTGTTATACAGAGCTTCATGTGGAGTGGAGGGTGGAGTCATTGGATGGACAGTAAATATTGTAGACAAACAAACAGCAAATTACAATATGTCAGAACTCTTACCCATCTCTTTGGCGCAGACATAATGGTACCTCTGAGTACAGCTCTTCCAGCTGCAGCAGATGGAAGCTCCTTCCCCTTGGCACCTGGAGCATTTCTGTGATGAGACAGAAGGCCTGAGGGTCTTTTCTCTAAATTATCGACTCTTTCCTTCACAGCCCCCTGAGCCACCACAAGTTGCAGATAATATAGTATATCTAATATAATGCTATGCCCACTAGAGTCGAAGTATGTTATTAGGATCATTATTATTATTTATTTATTTTTTATTTTTTCAATGTTCTATTACACTGTTTAGAATGGAACCTTAATATATTGCTTACTGTTTAATGAGTACTAATTTATGAAAATAGTATACTGTTTCATACAGTAGTGTGCATAGTTATTTGTAACATAATTATGTGTTAAAAAAACAAACCAAAAAAAGTATTGTGTTGGTGTCTAGATGTAGATGTGCTCTTGTCTCTCTCTTTTTTAACAGTACAGGAAGTTATTAATGTAGGGTGTTTAATATAAATGAAACACTTACTGTATTTGCAGATTTCTGAACAGCCTCCTTCAGCCCAAAGAGTTTGCCTGCTACCAGGATTATGCCTGTGGTCCAGACAGCACAAGCTTCATGAGCCCAGTGCTCTTTCGCCTCAGCTTCCATCTGCAATCTCTGCAGAGCCGATCCACTGCCCTCCTCGCCAGCAGGGGGAGAAGCTCCACCAAGTCTGCTCTGCAACAAAAGCAGTCTTTTGAATCTCATCCGCGAGGTTGGGCGGGTTCTTAACGGTTCCCTAATTGCCCTTTTCCCCCTCCTGGGATGCCAGCTGTGTCCTTCATTTGCACTATCTTGATAGGCGTCCTTCGCACATGCACTCTGTGAGTTGGTCTGGTCTGCGATGCATCTGACCTCTGTCTCATTTGCACAGTTGCTGTTTTGCCTGAAATCATTCCTGTGTGTTGAAGACAGCATTTTTCGTGGTATGCAGTCCTCAGGATAATAGGGGCCGCACAAGTCCCCGAGCTCTCTGTAATTTGCTGGCTTTCCACATAGGCAGCACGTTAGACACCTTTCAATAAGACTTTTGTTAACCAAGGGCCCCTGGAGCATCACTGAGGAGTTTGATACTGCCTTGGTAACAGTGACTAGATTTTTCATTTTAGCTGCACTCTTTTTTCTTGCCTGGCTAAGCATCTGCTCTTCCTCAGGCCTGTTAATGATGGTACAAAGAGATGCTAGCTCCAAAGGCCTGTCAATGTGTACATATGGTCTGAAAGAACATTTGCCATCTCCTAGTGCTAGATGCAAGTCTGATGATGTCCCCTTCACTGTTGGGGGGAGATCATTGCTGCATTTTGTCTTGATTTTTGGTCTCCGCACTACAACTTTGAGGACATTAAGAACCTTTTTTTTCGGGCCAGACTTTTTTTTCTCCTTTACTTTGTCATCTTCTGTTTGACTTGAGAGTTCCTCCTGTTTCTTTTTGAGTGATGGCCGTCTGCCTCGTTTGGGTTTTATTTGTGGTAAGCTAAATTCTGTTGGTGGCTCCTCATACTGTGTCTGTTCACCTGTTTCTGGTAAAGAGAGGGAGGGTGGAGGTGGGGGTAAAATAATAGTCTGGTTAGGCTCTTGTTTTTCAACAATGGGGGTGCTTTCTTGTGGCTCAGTGCCTTTTCTTCTCTTCTTTCGTTGCTTCAGATGCATCTCGTGGTTGTTTTTAATGGCTCTCTGTTTGGCTAGTCTTGGTGTATTGATAACTAAGCTCCCGGCCTCCAGGGCTACGTCTGGTACATCGCTGCTCTCTATGGTGGCCCACGTTCTCCTCTTTTTCCTTGGAGTATGAATTCTTGTGGTTTGGGGCTCTTGTGTACTTGAACTTGTTATTTCGGCCTCCATGTGAGTTACCTCAGGAGCGTTCATTGTCTCCTTCAGCTCTGGTGCCTGTGGCACTGATTTTGATGTTGATTCATCTGGTACAATATCTGGTTGAATATTTAAAGGTTGCTTTTTGGACCCTGGGGATGTGATTTTCTGTACCATTGCCTCATATTTAAGTCCCCTGCCTTTCCGAGGAGGCAAATATTTGGTTTTAGTGGGACACTGAGGAGGTAAAGAAGCCATATCACTTATGTCATCAGTGGGAGGGTTATCAACGGTTACGGTGGTGCTTACAGATTCTGCTTGCAAATGCTGTCCTCTCTTTCGCTTTCCCTTTGCAATACAGACTCTTGTGACTGTGTCTAATGGGGGCTGCTGTGTCTTTACTTGAATCTCTTGCACAACTTTCTTTCTCTTTTTGGGATCTGATAATGGTAAACTGTATTTTCTTTTGATGGAAACGATCTCTTCATTTGGTTCTTGAAGTGACTCTGTAGATACATCCTTCTGCTTAGGTAATTCAAGATTTGAAGATTCGGTCTTACATGACTGATCCACAGTAACATTCTGTATTTGTGAGTGCAAGAGCATTTCTGAAGTTGTCTCGTTTGATTTATCACTCTCCTTATCCTCAGTCAACTTTTCTTTTGTTTGTTTTCGTGATCTCAGCACCATGGACTTTTGGTCTCTTGCTAAAGACTTTACACAACAGCTTTCTAGAGTGGACTCCAAAGTGGAACCCACAGTTTCATCCTTAGTGTTGTCCACCACACTAACAAGTGTGTCCGTAGTTAATGCAGTGCTCACATCTTGCAAAATAAGTTCATGTGTTTCCTTGGTATGGTCTTTTGTATCTTTTGTATGGTCAATCTGAATATTTTCATTTCGTTTTATTGATTTTATCTTGGAGGTGATGCCTCTTGGTCTACCTGGACCTTTAGTTACTGACCCCTCAATTGGCTTTGACTCTGATGTGGTTTGACTTGGCTTTGGAACAAGTATTTCTCCTGCTAAAGCCCCAGTCTTTGAGACTTGTTTAGAACCAGATTTTGGACCAGGTTTAGGACCTGGCTTTACTCCAGGTTTTGGGCCAGGCTTTGCATTTTTTGTGGACCCTGTGCATTTTAAACTTATTTTGGGGCCAGTTTTTACACTAGGCATAACCTCAGGTTTAGGACTTGGTTTTGGACCAGGTTTTGAAATTGATTTTGGACTAGGCTTTGGACCAGCTTTTATATTTGATTTTGGACCAGACTTTGGACCTGGTTTTGGACCTGGCTTCACACCTAGCTTTGAACCTGGTTTTGGACCAGGCTTTGGACCTGGTTTCCTTCTCTCTTGAGGGCAGACCTTTGGGCTACTTTGCGAACCGTATGACCGAGTGCACATCCGCGATGGTAAACTCTCTGTCACAAGTTTCTGTGTTTGGCTACTTATATTCTGGTGGGCAGTTTCCATCTGATCAGGAATAAGAGCGCTTTTGCTGGAGGGCATGCTGGGATTTTGGGCAGAAGGTGGAGCACTGTCTCCTTCTACGCTTAGCTGCCTTCTGATTCCTACACTTGAATGCATTGGTCTCCTTCTGCCCCGTGCATGTTTCTTACCGAACATTCTGGTATGTTCAGATGGGGCCAAAGGCTCTGGCTTGGCTGAGGGAGTCACTGCACTGGGACAGCTTATCCCTGGTTCCATATCCTCATCTCCTTTCTTGGGAGAGGGTGGGGTGTCAGCCCAAGATGGTGCAGAGTGTAGTATTGACTTGCCTGGCAACTGAGGAGAGTCAGGCTCCAGTACCTTTGCATCACTACGATCGATGTGATGGTCCCTAGCCTGAGCCAAAGGTGTTGTTTTCTCACTGAGAGTTGAGAAGCCACTTTTGGCAGTGTGAGGCTGAGGTGCAATGTCACATATGGCTGACCTCCTTTCACTGCCTCTGTGTGGTGCATCCTGGTTAAAGCTTTCTGCAGGTTCTGTGTTGACTTGTGGCATGTTTCCCATCTCCTCAGATGTACATGCTCTATTATTAATGACCTCCTCTGTGGTTGTCAGATTCTCCTTTTCATCTCTCACCTCAGTGGAATTATGGGAAAAGACAGACGACTGCTCCTCAAGGGTGTCCACTGGTCCCTCGGTGCATGTGAGGCTATCTACTGAATTCTCACTCTTTGAATTTTCTTCTTTATCTGGCAAATAAAGATTAGTGCCTGAATTGTTGGGCGATGTTTTCACAAGCATTTCAACAGTGGCCTGTGGCTCTGATTTGAAATGTTCTGACTTTATTTCTTTTCCTTCATTACATTTGTGATTAAGCTCAGAAAAACAGTCCATCTCTTCTGAGTTTCCTTTATCTAAACTGTATTTGTTTTGCAGACCGTGGTAGATATTTGTTTCATATGAATAACCTTCCTCTAATACTGCTTTATTAATTTTATGAAATATAGAAGGACTTTTCTCATCCTCCAACCACTTCTCTTGCTTTTCAGTGACCTCTCCTTTGCACTCATTGTCTGCAGACATCGTTCTTTGTCCAATTTCCTCTTCATCAACCATCCTCTCAGTCCATGCTGACTCCTCAAAGTTTTCCTTTAGAGTACTCTCTGAACGCTTTATGTCTGGTGGTGAATTACTCTCTTGTTTCATGGGACTTGGAGCTGTTACACTGATGGGCGACCTCTCATCTCTAATGCAACGGAGAGAGCTGTTGGGCTCCTCTCCAGTCAATACTCTCTGTACTCTGGGGTCACAGTTGAGATTATCTTCAGAGGCTACACTCTGGAGACTCCGAACTGAGTCACCTGACCTAACGGATACATCATCAGCTGAGTTTAAGGAACAAGTGGACACTGTGTCCAGGCTGAGACGTGGGTGTGTCTGGGTGTGTGCTTGACCTTTGTCCTGACCAAAATAGTAATAGCTCCTGTCCATCTGGTCCTCAGTGCTGCTAGAGTATCCTCCCTCCTGTAGTTCTGATGTCATGGACCTGGGAATGCTATATGCATCAGGTGGAGGGGGACCATGTTGGTTATCAGGACAAGATGACTCTTCCATACCCTTTAACTGACCTCTGTAGTCTTCTCCCTTTTTTGGAGGATTTCGCTTGCTGGTCTTTTTGTTAGCCATAAGGGCCTCTGACAGCAGCAACTGCTGAACATTGTTAGAGATGTTTTCAACCTGAGATGTCAGGGCATTGAGGCTCCACAAACTGGGGTTGGACAGGAGCTTTTCCGAGAATCGTTCTTTCATGGAGCCAGAATAGCTCTGGGACTGGTGGTTCACACTGGGTGATGAATGGGTATTAGGAGGCATCAACATATTTTGGTCTTGCAAACTTGAGGACGAGGAAGCTCCAGGATTAATGGGAGGTTGGCCATATTGGAATGAGTCGGGATTTGGCATTAAGGGGGATGGTGTAGAGTTATATGACGGAGATCTTCCCACAGACCTTGCAGGTGAATGACTGGAACTTGGACTGCAGGTCTGGTAGTATTGTTCTGGTGATCTTACAGAAATGTCTGTAATGCAGTAGTTTTGCTGGGGCTGATTGTAGTGCTGGAATTTCTGAAGGTTCTCCTGTGTACCAGACATTCCCTGCAGGGAGCCTTGTTCAAATCCAGACCTTGATGGAGTTTGTTGATAACCATAATTATTCTGAGGCCTGTATCCACTCTGCTTTAAACTGCTGTGATTGCCGAGTTGTCTTCCATACTGTGCATTAGTCGGTATACCATAGCCTTTGTAGCCATGTGGCATTGTATTACATTTCTCCATGTAAGATGATGAAGATGAAGGGGGCTGCGAGTGCTGAGGGAAATGGAGGTGGCCCTGTGGATACATTAAAGGAGATGGTGCTGGATTGGGTGGGAGGCCCTGTTGATGGGAACTGGTATAGGTTGTGGCAGAGGACTGGGAAGGGAGATGGCACTGACTTTGAGAGATAGCTAGCATGTTCTGCTCTAGGTACTGGGATGACCCACTGACCCCAGACTCCAGCCGTCCCACCATGTCCTGTTCAAATTGGGTCATCTGAGCTGACTCATCCCATTTTTGCTGCAAGTGACCTTCACTAATATACTGAGCTGTGTATCCAGGGCCCATGTGATTGCTGTAGCCAGCCTGCATGTGCTGGCTTGGAGTTTTGGCTCCTCTAAATGTTTTTTTAGTCTGAGTAGCACTGCTGCTGGTGTAGACGGGATAGGTCTGCTGTCCATAACAGTCCTTAGAACCTGCTCCCGCTGATGACAACCCTGCCGCAGCTAGAGAGTGTGGCTCATAGCCCTGTCTGGACTGGCTGTGGTGATGTCTATAACTCTCAAGGCGCGATAATTCTTGGGGTTCCTGCTGGTAGCAGTGCTGGTTGCCATGGAAACCACTCCGCTCTCTGAAGGACTGCATGACTCCGGCTTGGGGGCTGTTTGGAAAGAGAGAGAAAAGATATAAAGAGAGAGGCTGTGCTTAGTGGCTTCATTTTCTTATCAGTGATCATTCCCTCATTCAATCAATTAGAATTTATTGCTGTATTTGTCCTAAAACAAATCAAATTATAATGTACACATTATTCATGACGTCAAATCATATCTCTCAACGAGCACTATAAAATTGGACTCTCCCTTACTGCAGCTGCAATCAATCATTATTGTATTATATTGAATCTAGGAATCTGAGCCTATCTATTCCACATTTTGGTGGTTTCATCTTCTGTGTTAATATGTGCAGCTACATTAGTATTAATTTTCTCAAATACACATGATGGTTTTAAAACATGTATTCACAAGGACCATGCATACAAACAAACCAAGCATTTTATCATTGCCTCATCAAGTGTTTCATTAAAATAAATGATATTCAATATTGTGCATATGCAATAAGAGGACGCTCTTATAGGTGTTGCTCAGAATTTCTTTTCGATATGTTCTATTTGCGTACTGTATATCTTGCTCAGTAATTTGATACAGTAGGTAATGTGATATTCAGGTCATATTCTCTTCTCAGCAATGACTTCAGAGTTGCAAGTGTGTGTTTTGTAGGCATAGATAGAGGCTGTTCTATTTCTCCACTCCAGTGCTGTAGGCCTGTCGAGGGATGGCCGCCCAGTCCCATCAGACACACACATTATTCATCTCACTAGCGCACTGTCTGAAGCCATCAGGCCCAAGAGCAACGTGCTCTCCTCTTAGCACCCTCCCAAGAGGTCCCACCAACCACTACTGCTTCAGTTTTGCTTGTTTGCTGCTCTGCTTGTTTACACAGTGACCCAAATAAGACCACTTGGGATCTATGTTTTAAGCCTTTAAAAATGCATACATGTGGTGAAATGTTCAAGCTGGAGCAAGTGACATGATGGATCTTGCTTTCCCTTTCGCATATTATTGCAACTGCCCAGGTGCGTTAATATGTTTAAGTTATCCCACATTGAATCTGTTGACTTTTTTTGTAGTATCATTGGCATTCAGATTCTGCTTGTATCATTGGCATTCAGATTCTGCTTGAACATTTTGCATGACAGATCCACTGTGTGCAGCTGATTAAAGACTTGTGTGTGGCTATGTTGCTGACACAGCCAGAGATCTGTTAAGAGCGTGGTCTAAAAGGTACAGTACGCTTTCTAGGTCTGCTGAGAGGGCAGAATTTGTCTCCTGGGGTACCAAATAATGACAAAGACAACGTTACTGTAGAACTTACCATACCAGCACGGACTGGCCCATATCCAGAATGAGTCAAAATCTATGGCAATGTATCTCAAACTTACTTCCACAGTGCTACAAAGTAGGTGCAAAACTTTAAAAGGATACATAATTAAAACTTATATTCCTGTTACTTGTATTTGTATGTGTTATTTGCCGTCATTCTCCTCCATGTTGTATTTTTGAAGCTTGTTGAAGCAGAAAAAGAGACTGTTGAGGGGTATGTTTAAGCCAGCTGTGAGCTCAATGAGCTTCTACGTACTTTGAGGCAGAATTCCCCAAGAGACTTTTACATCTAAAATCACTACAAAATCATTCATTAACAGTAGTGACTGCATGTATAAATAGAGTACTCTCTCTTCTATCTGCATGTGTGTTTACCTCAATTGCAGTCTATAAACTTTCTTTCTCTAGAGGCCCGTCTTTCACTTTTACTTTCAGATTGAGCGTTGGACAGTCATCTGATTCAATTATTCATTTACTATGGATTGTATAGGGAGTGTGGAAAGGTCTCTGGGAAATATCTCAAATACTCAAATGTCTGGGTGAGACATTTTATGCTAAAATGAGCCATTCAATACAAGGCAACTTTTTCCAAACTACATGTTAACTACAGTCACTTATTGTGCTGAAGGCTGTAGTTTGGAGCACAATCAAGAGCTATATTATTACCAATTCCTTGTTTTAGAAAAAGGTGAAGAAATACTCTCACACTGATGGGTTTGAAAAATAATAAACCAATAAACAAGCTCTCTGGCATTTTCTGAATCCTTCATAAAACAGCTTAGTTATAAGATTGAGGGGCACAAGGCACAAAAAAGACAAACTGCACATAAGGAGCTTTTAACCAAAGCAAACATTGAGTCAGGAAAGAAGATGCCAAGGAAGAAGGAAATGAAGAGGGAGTGAAGGTCAGGATAGGGGGTCGATTCAATTTCAGCGCAGTCCGTTAAGGACAAGAACTGATCTTGAGGACCAAAATCTGTTTCCTGCAAGACCCGCTCACAGATATGCAAGTTAGATGCTTTGTTTTGTTAAATTGTAATTCACAACCTGAATCCAAACTGCATCACATGCAAATATCATGTTCTAGAGATAATTTAGGGTTATACATTTCTTATACAAGAGTGTTGGTTTTTCAATATTGCTTTGAATGGTTCACACTGGAATGAAAGTTGCTAATCAGATCGGAGGCATTCAACTGGACTGTCTGTCTTGGCCAGGCGTGAAGTCTTTCTTTGAGATGTCATTTTGATTGACATCACTGCAGCTTTTTACTGACCTTTGAAAGAACAGAACCATACCGAGAAACAGTAGTATCCGGAAAATAAACGGTTAAAGGCATTATCCGCATTAATGGAATGTCCAGAACATTATGTTTTTCTTCACCGCATTTCAAAAGTTGTTGGTTTGCTCACCAATTTACCTCCAAAACACAGATTAAATAAACATATCTATTACATTAAGCATTTTATTACATTAATTACAAATGTATTTTCAAATTTAGTTAATATGTCCCATGTATAATTTTTGATAAAATTCCTTCGCTGTAAGCATTTTCATGTACATCATATGGCACACTTTGCTATTTTTGTTTGTTTTGAAAACCATGACAGCATCATAACATTAACACATGATAAAAATAGCTAATTTTAAAGGCATCGAAGGTCTGAATCCCCTTAAAATGGTGATTAATGGCCTAAAAAAGATAAAACTCTATATACACACACTAATTAATGACTAAAAACATCTATGTATGAATCATCTCTTCTTTTTTTACACAAATTCTTTAATTAATGTGAAATGTAAGATTATTAGTTACCATTGGTGTAGTTTTTATACATTTTATTTTTATTTTTCCATATGTTTATTATAACATAAACTCACAAATCATTTTTAAAGCTTGTTCACACCGGGACGAAATTCGCACGCGATATTCGCCGATGTTTAACGCTTCGTGACTAAACAAAGGGCGCCAATGTGCATGTGCAAACCGACACGTAAAACGGTACACGTAAACACGTCATTTTTTTTAAAAATCGCCTCGGATCGTTTTTTTAGTTTGGCGCTCTGCGTCAAAAACAATCCGACCAATGAGATTGCCACTTTTGCTCACGTGTTTGGAGCTTCTGAAGTTACAGTAAAACACAACTTGGGGGCGCTCAAACACAAAACGGTCTTGCCGAGCACACATATGCAACGGCAAAGAAGATATACGCCAAGTAGCGTCGCCGCCTACACAGCCAGGAAGAAATAAGACGAGGAAGATGCAAGGCAAGATGAGTGTATGCATTTGTGTCATTAGACAATGAAAAAAAGATATGACTGCTTATAAATCTTTTTTAGGATTACGTAAAATCATCGCAGATGTGGCATTGTCCCACATAATTCAAATGCCTTTTTACTGACAGCCTCATGATTCGAAAACCATGAGTCATAGTCTCCACAATGTGATGATGCGTCTGGCTGCAGAAGCAGGCGATGCTTTTGAATGACTTGCGCGGAAGATACAAACACCCCAATTAGCTTCGAATTGCACTCAACACTTTTTTTCTCCAGAATACTCTTTGCTGCTTCTTCTATTACGAGGCTGCAGAGAGTGCCCTTTAAATGCTAAAACCTGCCACCGTTGGCATGACGACGCTAAGAGGAGTGAAAAAGCAAACCTGCCCTCCCTGCAGTGAGGTGCCTGGTGCCCATTTCATCTGTGCCAGCGGTGCCCAAGGCATCACACCTCAGGGGTCTGAAATGAGAGCTGTTCAGAGACGGTGCTGGGTTAGGCATAGTGAGAGCCCTCTCCCTTTGATCGATTTTTTTTATTTTTTTTGTCTATGCATTAGAGTGTGTGATACTAAGCGAAAGATGTGTGGTGTGTGCGCGCAGGTAAATCAAGTCTAAAGCTCCTCTCTGAGAGTCCTGATGCCCAAATAAAACCTAAATAAGATTGAAGTGCATGTTTGCACCAGCACGATAGGCTTTAAGCTGCTTTGTGGCAGACTAAAGGAACATAAATGCAGACTGCTGATGGCGCACAACATCTCTCTATTCTCAGATGCAGAAAACGACAGATACAGCTACTGCCGGTATGTACGCATATAACCAGGCACATAGTATCTAGAGAATTTCAACTCTACATATAAAAAAAAGACCTGCTTTAAATAGGGGTGCGGGGCTGATTGATATTCTTCAGCAGGTCTGCGTGTGCATGAGAGAGCATTAGCAGAGCAGAGGGGTGAGATGCAGCAGATGCAGGGTTTTGCGGCAGGTGAGACTCTAGTCTCCCGGTGCCTCGCTCCAGTGAAGCAGCGCTCAGCTTTGATCTCAGCCTCTCTCTGCTGTAGCGCTCCGCTGTGGCCACTCTCTCGACACCCCAGCCCGCACTCACGCTCGCTGCGTTTCGCATTTTCCGTCCCGAAGATCGCTTACATTGATCTTTCAGATGGAATGAGAAGTCTCAAATGCTGGCGTGCCGAGGGATTATTTTCTTTGAGACAGACTTCATCAATAATGCTGGTACAAAGGCACAATGACATTACTGGCCTGAAATGCTATATGCCTTGCTGCGCTCAATAAGGGCACAGTCATTTATTTCTCCCTGTGAGGCACGCCACTTTGCGCTTGTTCCTGTTCTGTGCCTCTTCAGCTCTGCTAATTTAGGATGCGAAGCGGTCGGAGTGTCACTCACGCTACCGATATCTCTATCACACATCTTTTCTTTCTGTTTCAT